CCATTATTTACAAAACTGTAATAAATACAATGCAAGATTATTTTACAAAGTGTTATAGTACATGAGTCGTTTACTTTCCATAGTAACGAGTATCCCATGAACTTCTGTACACTGATGAATAAAGGCCACGTTAACATAGGCAATATTACTGGAAAATCCTGTTGCTTATTTTGGTGAATTTTTTACATCCGGGCAAGGTGACAAAAACTCGATGGTATAAGCAAATGCAATACAAATGGCATTCTTTTCTAAATTGTTTTACAAGTTGATCAAAAATCAGCGTCAAGTTGGATACAATGATCTTCAAGCTAATAATTTACAACACTTTTCATTTAACTTTATCCTTTAAAGAGAGGCACATGTAGCAAAGTTTAGGCAGATGCCTGGTCTAGATTTTCCACAGATTTGTTATACTGATACGGCCATGCCCAGGGGAGGGGCTAAACGACCACCCACCTACTCCTGAGCTGGAGGCTTTGAATCTTGGAAGTGATTTTAAAACATCATTTTTCGAAAAATTACAAAAAAGCCATACCAAGAATATATCAAATCTGCAGAAATAGACTGAAGTGAGGTTTTCTTGTTGTAGTTTCAACAACAACGTTTAACAACAAAAACAACAATAACAACATACATAACACTGTCCAATGGATGTCTGCTGTATAAACACGCCAGTAAAAAAAACCCAAACAAAACAAACAAACGATCTACGCTGGTTGCATTGATGATTGCATTGCATAAAAACATTTGCACTTGTCTGTTCAGACTAATACAATAACAATCATCATAGCGTTGTGCCTGTAATCATCAAGTTCGTTACAACCACTCCCAATATGAGTGTACTAGTTGAGACAGTACTGGATGCGCCGGTTGTGCTCAGATCGATCCAAATATCTGTGGTCCCTTACAAAGTATAGAGAGATGTATGTTATGTAACTTAATCGAACTATTCGTTATTTATGGCACCCTTTATAGTTAAAAACAGAAATTTACGTATATAACTCGGAAAGTTGAGAATCATCTTTTACCAGTCATAATCATCGTACCCGATTTCGCTGTTGACAAACGCGGTCATAAGCAACTTTTGTTACTTCAGGAATTTAAAATAAAAAAATCAATTGATAAACATTTTACACGTTCTGTGAGTGTCGAGGTTACTTTTTGAAGTCTCAGTTTTATTGGAACTAGACTGCTTGGAGATCTTAGAGATTGAGGCAGGGAAATTGGTGAAAAAAAAGAAAGTAGAAAACGTTTATGGGTGCAGATTTGCAGGGTTGAACAGGAAAAAAGGTCAAAATCTAGATATGGTAATCATATTGAGGTGTTTTATTTTTTAGGTAAGGCTATGTGACGAACTCCCTTACCCCTCAAACACATACAGACACACAGCAAGAAGTTGTAGAACTTCTTGCACAAAGCCACCACCGCCACTACGCACACACACACACACACACAACAGTTACTTTGAAAAAACCTGCCCTGAGTGTCAGCTAACACATGAAAAGGTATAGTGAGCAAGCTAGCTTTACAGTCCCCCTGAAGAAAAGGTATAGTGAGAAAACTAGCTTTATAGTGCAAAGATTTTGGAGTCGCTTCCTGAGCCACACAATGTGGCTCACAAGTGTTGTAAGCTGCCGTAAACACCCAACGGTCGCTCCTCCTACTATTCCGAAATAGACCAATAATATCTCACACATATTCGTCACGTGACCCAACGCGTAATCCGTGCGATAACACAAGACACCAGCAGATCGCTACTTTGCAGAGAGGAGTTAAGACAGAGGAAAAAGTTTTTGAGAAGCATCGCTGTGTTGAAACATTTAAGTATATCCAACAAAAGGTAAGGGGATATGACTTTAACCACTGTCTTTTACCCTCCTTCCCTCCCCATTTAACCCTCAGGTCCAACATTTTTCCTACTATATTCAGTCTGATGTACACCTAAGGGTGGTACCCTCTTATAACAGCGCTTTGGCGCTTTTCTGGCTCTTTTTCTCCCCACCTTTTATGGTTAAAGATGCATATAAAGTCAATTTTTTGCCACAAAAGCCAACCAAATACCAGCATATAGTTTCAAGTAGTATAACTAAGAGAATTACCAAAAGGCATTGTAACATTTAACCTGAAAATGATGTTTGAACGGATTTTTCTGTTAGCATTCTATGCAGTATGTCAATGGGGCAGAAAAGTAGGTCACGAAAGAAGGTTAAACTTTTGACAAAAATTTAAAGAAAGGAGCAGTCTAAAGCTCTTTTACGGCTGATCGAGTGAACATTGTATTTAATTTTAGATAAAACAAAAAAGGCAAAAATTGAGAATGTCAGTCTGTGTGCAGTTGTATATGTATCAGAGGATATGTGTTTCCAGTAAATCGGACACTTGTTTCTACATTGAACTGAGGACTGGGCGAAAAGTAAGAGCAGGAACAATGAGATCTTTAAATTGCCATGAATATTCCACTCTTGTGTAGCGTTATCTTTTTGGAAGCTTTACAAAATAGTGCCTCTCAGGTAAAGTGATTGACTTATCTCTGATTTAGACACTAATTTATGAACCTTCGCTAACGTTTCTTAACATGGAAAGGTTTTATAATATCAGTGTCGCCAAGCAAAAAAGGCACTTTATATCAATATATATAAACAATTTTATTTTGATATTATGTCGATATAAAGAACAAGATGTATATTCATCTTCAACGCCTAAAGCACGTGTTACTTGAGTCTCTAGTGTTAGGTTATGACTCTGTTTTATGGAACGATTTATAGTTTTTTTTACTTTGGACGTGTATAAACGGGAAGAATAATGACAAACCGTTCACCAGTTACACACACAGTACCGCTGTTTATAGATGCACGAACTGGTACGGTACATAATTTTACATCAACAAAAATCCCACTCTTGTCACTTCCAACATTTGTCACCGTGTACTAAAATAAGCAGAGCAGTATGGAGACGCTGCGAAGGTTTATAGTTTAGGTGTCTATATCAAGAGATAAGTCAATCACTTTACATGAGAGGCATTTTTGAAAAGCTATCAAAAAGATAACGCTAGATAAAAGAGATGAATTCCCATAGAAATTTAATGATCTCATTGTTCCTGCTCTTGAGTTCCGACCGGTCCACAGTTCAATGAACATAGTTCATAGACGCAGGAGCGGCCTCTGGTAAGTTTGCATAATAGCTTGAGCTAAAATTATGCTATATTAAAATCCTGAAGTAACAAAATTATATGATTGACGGAGATATGTTCTAAAATGTGACTTTTGTGATGGTACACGTCTGTGTGGAGCAAACGTGAGAGGTGCATTCACTCCCTGATTTGATATTGATGTTTCAGGTATAGTAATACCGTTTTGGGTGAGAGACTTGTGTAACATTTGTCTTCCTGTTAAAATAAGTGTTTTTAAACCGCCAGTTATCAGAAAGCATTCACTTTGATTTTTTTAATTTGATTTTGATCGAAAAAGGGAATTTTAATACACCAATTTTCAAATACGTATTTATGCATCTTTGTCATCAAAATGACAGAAATATAATTGCAAAAAGTGGTCTATTTGAGACTAAACTATTCTTGGTGATATTTAATATGGGTAGATTTATATAGAAGTGGTGGTATCAAAACATACAGAAAAAACGAGGGGAGCCTAATTCCAATATTTATCACATCTGTCCCTATTCAAAAAAAAAAAAAAAAAAAAAAAAAACACCACACATTAAAATCTATGTCCAGGTTCTAACTATCTATAAATGAACTACGTACATGTATCTACGATAATTGGCGGCCATTTTGGATATTTCATGTTTCCCATGTCTGGATTCCTTGGGATTTTAGTATGTCGAGCAAACACAAAACTTTTAATAACGTTGCCATAACGTTTTTTTTTTTCGTTATGGAAACGTTATGAAACATGCTGTGTTTGCTGGGAGGCTTCAATGTTATAAATTCTGTTGTGATTTTGACCAGGTTCACCTCAGACCTTGTCTATTTAACCTGGACAATTGGAGTACACATTTATTATGCTGTCACTTACTAAGATTACAGTTTGCGCCACCGCTGATTACCATGAGACCTGTTTTTGTTTCGTTGATCACTATCCTTGACTGTGAGCAAAATGTTTTCTTTTCAAGATTTTATATTGTACTTGTTCGTGATTCTTTCCCTGTTTGTAGAGAGTAAAATGGTATCGTATATATATAGTGTAAAACTGCGTGCAATCAAAGATAAGCTGCACGACGGCATCGTTATTTGTATTGTAAATAGCTCAGCTTCTCGTGGGAACAACCCTCTATCAGGGCCACAGATTTGATTCAGATTTTTCACTAGATATTCGCAGATATTTCTCTGGCTAATTCATGGCTTATTTTTTCACTGGAGAAAAGTGTAAATAATAGGCCTAAGCTGCGGCCCTGGTAGGGGATACGTGGTAAAAACGTAGTCGGCGTTTTGAGCAATGAACAAGATGCATTAATGTATAGTTGGCTTACATTCCCCAATATCTGACTTAGAAAGTGTATATTAAGAAATAGAGAGATGTGTGTTTGTAACTTAATCGAACTATTCGTTGTTAATGGCACCCATTATATTTAAAAATACAAATTTACGGAAAGTTGAGAATCATCTTTTACTAGTCATAATCATCGTACCCGATTTTCCTGTTGAAAAACGCGGTCATAAGCAACTTTTGTTACTTCAGGATTTTAAAATTAAAAAATCAATTGATAATCATTTTACACGTTCTGTGAGTGTGGAGGGTACTTTTGGAAGTCTCAGTTTTGTTGGAAACAGACTGCTTGGAGATCTTAGAGATGGAGGCAAAGGAAATTGATGACCAAAAGAAAAGAAAGGAGAAAACGTTTATGGGTTCAGATTTGCAGGGTTGAACAGAATAAGAGGTAAAAATCTAGTTATTGTGATCATATTGAGGTGTTTTATTTTTGAGGTGAGGCTATGTGACCCCCCCCCCTTCCTCCTCAAACACAAAAAGCAACCACCGCCACTACTCACACATATGTATATAACAGTTACATTGAAAAAACCCTGCATCCCGCTAAAATGTAAATCACTTACAGGTAGGTACGTGCTTATAGATACGGAACCCATGCACACCTGCACAAGTAGGCCAAAATTGTTGACCTAATTAAACAAAATCTGCACGTCACGCGTTATCGTTACACCTTAAATAGCACTTTGGAAAATCTGAAAATTTTATTTCTAGTAAAATGAAATAACATAATTCTAGGTGTGAGTCAGCATGTGACAGGTAAGTGTTGTCAGCGGAGAAATGACTTTCTTTTAGTCATACCTTGAATTGCGTTTTTCTCTGACTGAGTTAGTTTCACTTTCTCATTTGGTTCAACTATATAATCTTTCACTTTCGCATTTAGTTCAACTATCTGATTTTTTATGTGAAATAATTCATCTAAATAGAATGAAAATTACTAAGCCTCACCTCCCCCAAGGTCAATTGTCGATTACTACTGATAAATAACCGTTCGTTTATTTTGATTTTCACATTTCACATTTAGCTGCTCACGACATGTAGGTATATACCAGTGCATTGAATAAAAACGCTCAGAGAGGTGTGAATAATTATAGGTACAAATACTGGTACTTGGGATTGCACAATTTTTTAAGTCTTGTTGAGTGACCATCATGTAAAAAACACTTCATATTTCAGAAAAACACTACCAACTTAAAATGGCAGAACAAGTAATTGGTGGAAAATCTCAAGAAGAAAACTCAAGTCACCAGAGCCAGCCACAGCAGGCATCCAGGTAACACGCGAGTAATTTGTGATAAATGAAGAATATAGTTGTAACAATATTTCGAAGAACAATAAAATGAAGATCAACACAAGGCCAGTGATTAGGGGCAATTGACCTGGATTTTCATTCCAGGTGAAATGACCCTAGTCATTTACTCCCTGATGATGGTGACTGACAGTCACAGAAATATTGGAGGTAATACCTACATATTTTATAAGCTCTTGATGAAAAGAAAAACAATAATTTAAAAAAACAAATTATCATTTTGCTCTACACAAGCCTAGGCCTTATGCCGTTTCTTACTTTGAATACCAGATTTAAATTTGTACTTGCGATCGCCCAATTAAACGAGTTCGTGGCGTGATGGAATATCCATGGCATTATAACAAGACTGAAGTGCATCAAACAGTCCAACAAATACAAGTACCCCTGTATCACCCCCCCCCCCAAAAAAAAAAAAAAAAAAAAAAGAAAAAAGAAAAAAAAAAGANAAAAAAAAAAAAAACTGTAAAGATGTGCTATCCAAGGGCGGATCCAAGACTATTTGGTACCTTGAATTGCGTTTTTCTGTGACTGGGTCAGTTTCACTTTCTCTTTTGACAGACCATGAGACATAAAGTCCACGCCGACGCCCCCCCTCCCCTTGGCCCCGAGAAATTCGGTATTTTAGAGGACGAACGGTGCCATTTGGTACGGTTTAGAACTATGATTCAGCCAGTCAAAACTCCAATTTCAAGAGGGGGCCATTGGTGTGACTTTTGCAGAAATCGGAAGAGAGGGTCAGGGCCCATTCGATACCCCCCTTAATCCACCACTGCTGTCACCAGATACTAAATGTGGGACCCACACCATCACAATCTCAGATTTGTAACAATTTGTACCAGTGAGAGGGGCTCTGATATATTCTGTATCTTTAAATGCAATTCATCTACATAGTATTCATTATGTTTGAATTTTTGCAGTAATCAAGAGCACCTGGATGAAGCCGATCATCTAACTAAGCTGCAGATTGTTCGAGCTGCGTCAAGTTCCGACCCAGAGATACCACGGCTGTTTGGGTTTGGTGGATGCTCGCAAAATGGTGCGGTACAATTTGCCAACAAAGAGGTGCATGCACTTCCGTACATCAATCCACCTGCAAAACCTCTCCCTGCAGTACCACGGCATTAATCCCCCTCTTCATAGAATAACGTGATTGATAAGGAGATACGGTTCACAAAAAAAAATCTAATCTATGATCGTAGTTTCAAACCAACATAAACCAGTTAGAGGGTCTCTGTGCTGATTTTATCACCACATTTTTACCAAAAATGTCAAAAATGTTTGAAAGAATGGTATAAATTCCCATTATGAAGTAATTTTTATATCCTGCTTCAATTTTGAACTCTGTTAGATTTAGTATCTGAGATACTTTCACTGCTTTGTGACTCATATATAAACCAGTATATGCATTAACTGGCAAAATTGACCAATGTAACAAATAACAAATATACATATTATATATTTTATACTTGAGATTATACATATTATACTTGAAATACTTGACTTTTTGGGTTTGAGTATGGTTAGCAAATTCTTTCCTCTTGAAGATCTCCATAGAAATGAGAACACTAGTTTTAGAATACAATCAGCTTTTCTGTATGATTGTTGGCTACTTTTGTCCTGAGGATTTGATGTATTTGATTTATGGAATCCAGCAGTATTGCACAAATAATTACAGATTTATAGACAAGATTTCTTTAACCACAATATGAAAGATAATCATTTAGTTACTGGCACAGAATAATGTATGTTTTGAAAGTATTTGTTTTGTTTTGAAGTGTGGGAGAAATATAATAAATACATTGCTTTGAGTGAAAAAGTCCCACAAAATATCCATTAATTATTCATATCTTTTTGCTATCCTTTTCTATGAATTTGATTAAGATTGACTCAAAATAAAAGAGGGTAAATAATCACAGAGAAACAAATCTCTTTACAGAATTTATTCATACATAGTGCAAAACTTAGCAAAGCAATTGACATTTGACATCTTTCGACCTTTGTTATATGGAAAAATATAATTATATGTACAAAATAACTTATTCACCAACAAGGTACACTTGAATTCAACAATAACATAGCAGCTCTTGAAGGGTTATAATAATGTTGTTAATAACAATAATAATAATAAATGATTATGAAAGTACAGTTATTACAATTCTTCTAAATGAGCTTGGCTTAAACCATTATTTACAAAACTGTAATAAATACAATGCAAGATTATTTTACAAAGTGTTATAGTACATGTGTCGTTTACTTTCCATACTAACGAGTATCCCATGAACTTCTGTACACTGATGAATAATGGCCACGTTAACATAGGCAATATTACTGGAAAATCCTGTTACTTATTTTAGTGAATTTCTACACCTGGGCAAGGTGACAAAAACTCGATGGTATAAGCGAATGGAATACAAATGGCATTCTTTTCTAACTTGTTTTACAAGTTGATCAAAAATCAGCGTCACGTTGGATACAATGATCTTCAAGCTATAAAATTACAACACTTTTCATTAAACTTTATCTTTGAAAGGGAGGCACAGGTAGCATGGCTGTCGCAAAGTTAATTCAGATGCCTGGTCTAGATTTTGCACAGATTTGTTATACTAATACGGCCATGCCCAGGGGAGGGGCTAAACGACCACCCACCTACTCCTGAGCTGGAGGCTTTGAATCTTGGAAGTGATTTTAAAACATCATTTTTCGAAGAATTAGAAAAAAGCCATACAAAGAATATATCAAATCTGCAGAAATAGACCGAAGTGAGGTTTTCTTGTTGTAGTCTCAACAACAACGTTTAACAACAAAAACAACAATAACAACATACATAACATTGTCCAATGGATGCCTGCTGTATAAACACGCCAGTAAAAAAAAAACCAAACAAAACAATCAAACGATCTACGCTGGTTGCATTGATGATTGCATTGCATAAAAACATTTGCACTTAACTGTTCAGACTAATACAATAACAATCATCATAGCGTCGTGCCTGTGATCATCATGTAGAGAAAGTTCGTTACAACCACTCCCAATATGAGTGTGCTAGTTGAGACAGTGCTAGATGCGCCGGTTGTGCTCAGTGCCGAGTATTTTGGCAATGCCTCGCTGCCCGGTGTTATGGTCATCTCAACAGGAACAAAGTTGTCCAACATGGTTGCTATATAATCTCCTTCTTCTTTGCCGATGAATATGGCGATGACGTCCTCAACTGAAAAACACATAAAAAGGGAATTTTGAGAATCATGATTAAGAATTCAAGCTGCCGTTTTCCTATCTGCAACGAGAAAACTTTTTTGTAAATAACTGTTGTATTAATTCTTTTTTCTTTTTTTTATTCAGAGATTGTCGCAGTTCTAAATGTTTATAAGCACCGAGCGTGAACTCGAAACTGTGAAAATTCGATTTTTTTTCCTATAAATAATATGCCAATGTTTTGAAATGGCATTTACGTGCAGTATGGTCGTCAGTACCAATACTCGATTTGTTTGTATACAAAACATTTGCTCCCCTATATCTTTATGTCATACAGGAAGTTCCATCCAAGTGCAGCGCCGCACATCGCGTAGCAGACAATCCCACACCATAAGCTCGCACAAAAAACCGCGCCGCCGGAAACAAAACCTCATTTCACCACCGCACATAAATGCCCTTACGACACACAACGGCCGAACATTCCACAGCGTGCACTATTATATGATTTATTAATCCACATATGAAATGAGGTTTGTTGTCATGTTGATGTTTTTCCACGTGGATGAATCCGGCAAACCCACTACAAACACACAAAAGGGAGCGGCGCCTTTGTTGTTAAATACCACAATTTCGATAATTCACAAACGCTTAAACGCGGGCGCTGGGTGAATTTTCCTTTGCAGTAAGTTCGCGTACGCAAAAGCCTTTTCCCGCCAGATTTACTTTGTAATTCGAAGAAATTTATGTAACGTAATGACCGCACAATATGAGATACTTAGTCGGAAATCGAGGGGTTAAGCGGCAATCATCTCTCACGATTATCATTGAGTTAAGGCATAGCAGGCTATTCTTTTAAATTAAAATGAAGCAAATTTGTGAAAAATAACCATTGCAGGCCTATCAGGTTCACATATAAGCTTTAGAAAATCATGTTTGCATATTTAAAAACTCCGATATTCGAGAACACAAGATTAAGATTAATCTAAGATTATCTTGAGAGATGGTAAAGGCTTGTCAAAAATATCTGGAAAACGCGCTTTATTTGATAGAAGGCACTGTCGGAAAATATTGAAACATCGATCAAATATGTTTTATGAAGTTTTTTTTTTTTGTGTCAATAAATCTACCTTATCAGACAGAGGGAGATATAGGGCTATAAAAAACTGCAATTGATTCTTTATGACTGGGTCTTCTGAACCAAAAATTAAATAGGTATTAATCAATCAAAGGCATCAAGACGAATGTATCTTGTATTAGAGTAAAATAATAATTACGTAAAAAATGTTAATTCATAACACCAGATTTACATGGAAGGAAGGTCGTTTTACCGCACCCCTTATTGTTTCGTAAATCAACTCAAATGCATAGTGAAAAGAAATTGACACACATATTTTCTGATCTCATTTCATTTTTACGATTAAGATAAACTGGTGCGTTTAAAGGTAAATTAACCCAGATATTCATTATCTATTCACTTAAAATTTGGTCTCCAGACCATTAATGAAATAAAATAAAATAAATAAATAAAATAAAAACCATAAAATTATATAAAATAATAACACCCGTCATAATTTCAAATTCGTTGTCTTTTATTTTATTTATTAGCCACTGTCACAATTTAACAAAAAAAAAAAAAAGCTTTGCATTTTTACTGCAACAGATAGGTCAATCAAAACTAATGAAAGTGAATATACATATAAATAGGAAGAAACGATTGTTAATAAACCAATAATAACTAACCACGACAAAATTTCAAATCAACTGCAATAATACTGTAATCGAAAAAGAGCTTGGATGTGTTTCCCACTGCTATGTTTTCATGGAGAATTTTCCAGTGTTTCAGGCGTGAAGCCAAGCTCCAACGACCTTCGAACCCAAACAAGTGCACATGGTTTTCACATGTTCGCAACATGATTGTTTACTAACGTACTATTTTTGTTTCACCGAAGAATGAGGCTATCTACTGTAAATTGGTCGGGAATCGATTGAAGCACCGACATCAGGGAATAAAGAGGCGTTTGTTTTAATACAGCAAAATTGCATCAGCCATGGCGGGAAAATTCCACGTGATATCCACGGGTGGGTGGGCGTGTTTTATTTATATTTACATACGGGTAGTTTAGGTGCACTGATCATGAAGAATATATATATAATCCATGCAGGAAAGTAGCACCTACTATTACTATATATGTCTAGTCTATGGACGGACTCCCATTGAAGGTTATTTTTGAGAGGCGTATACTCGAATTACGCTAACAGAAACGCGCGCAGACTTGTACTTAACAGCATTCACCCGTTTTCAGATATTTTACTAAGCATTCCTAAGACGCTTGCGATGGAGCGTTCCCGCTGTATGCACGCGGCTGAAGCGGGTTGGCACTTTGCCGAGACGGGATTTTTCCGCCCGCACCAGACACATTAATAACTTCCATATATCGTATACTCATCACGGCGTTGAAGCAAACAGTGGCAGCCATAATAGCCTATTTCTTTGCATATAAATATATATGTATGTATACATTACACTGGAGCTATCCGGTCCTCGTGGATAAAGTAGGCTATTTGATAACAATTTTAACCTTATTTGACCTTCAGTCGACTTAAATTAAAGCGTATTACAATTCTTGTGACTTAAGCCGAGAACATCAGTGACAAACAAAATTACCAACGAAAAGTAAACATCAGAGAGCAAATATTTTGCAAGAGGTCAAACAGTAATTAACTGAGCACCAATCGAAACAATCAGATACCTGGCACGTTTCCAAGAGGTCTGCGGGAGCGTTACGTCACGTCCAAATGGACCAATTTAAACCATCAAGCATCACTTTCTATGTTGCCAGACAAAACAGAACATGAAATAGCTCAATTAAACTATTCTAGGTTTTATTTACCTTCGTGATCCATTACAACGAGCGGGTTCTCTTCTCTGTCATTGTAAACAACAACCGCCGTGGCCCCCCGGAGTTTGGCAGCGTTGTAAATCTTGTCCTGGAATCTGCACTGTCCTCGCTTGACGAGTGCGATCCAAGGCTGACCTCTGTCGATCACGTTTACTGGGATTGTGCATCCATAGTGAGAGCCGTCCTTCGTCACAACATGGTGAACATGTCCATATGCTCGCGCTATTGTGCTGCCCATGCTGTATTTCCCAATGTCCTGCAGCGGTCGGTGATGCCTACCACTAGCGTCTGTGTAGGTGATATTTACACATGCTGTATAGTAGGTACTCTTTTCGTCTGAAAGCAACGTAGGTCCCGTCTCACTGCAGATACAACACAGGCACAGAACAGCGAGGATGATCGGGAGACGGAGTCTTGATCGCCCTCCAGTGAGGACACACACTTGCCAGGTTGTCATGGCCAGGGTCTTTAGGCATCCAGCGAGCGCACGTTTTCTTCCAAATCGTCCTCTTTCCATGGCTTAAATACTGCTACGATTGCCTACTCGAGCGTAATGTAACTTTGGAGACAATTTTGTGGTTACAACAACGACTTAATTTCCCACATCTACTTCACGTGGTGCTTCATTCACGAATCTACAATCTTATGTTTTCATATGACGTGTTTGTCATGTGACAATAATAACCTCGTTTCCAGACAAATGGTTATTACGACAAATTTTGGGGAGATATCAAAGGAAATAATATAAAATGAGATTTTTATAAATAGTATTTTTCAGATAATGCACATATTATCATATAATTCACGAAGCATAAGGTTCAATGTTTCAGAAAATGTTATTTATCTTTTATTCAACTAAGAACTGCTAAAATATTTTCCTTAGGCCTCTCCCTATATGAAGGTGTGACATAAAGGTATGCATACGATGTGGGCAAGTCTCCAGACGAACATTATTGAAATCGGTCAGGCAGTTCATTTTTAACATAATCTTTTGACAAGCAGTGATGTGTAAAACGGCAGGCGGTCATTCAGAGTCTACTAACGGTCCCTCTTATAGTGAACTGATAAAGGAAGCTAGCTGACATTGGACATTAAGGGTTATGTTTTGGCGGGAACAGTACGTTACTACACTCTTACGCTAGAGTAATCCTTTTCAGCTATCGCTGTAAAATAAACAATAAAGAGTGAAATGCAGGTTAAGTCTCGTTGTGAATGAAGTTTATGCAAACCCAACAGTTGTGAAAGGATTTATCGCTATGCATATACTAAACTATTAAAATTGGCACAGTGCCCTTGAATCCCACAACCAATATGCTTCGCCCACCTACAGTGTGTGTGTGTGTGTGTGTGTGTGTGTGTCTGTGTGTGTGTGTGTTGAAAATACGCATTAAATATTCCTGGCAAAGATCCAAAAGGTGTCTATTAGTCAAAGCAGGTTATCTGCTTGTGAAGCTAAATAAAAATGTGTCCCGTCGCGGATATTTTGTTAATTTTTCCGCAAAAGTTTTCTGATCACAAGAAATAAAACAGACAAATCACATTAGAAATATATGCCCTTAATGAGAGCATTGATTTACTTGACATACAAAACAGGCAGATGTACATATTGTAACTGGCCACCCCAGACGGTTAAAACAATATCTTAAATACCATGTGCGTGCTGAAACTGATAATAGCAGGGCAGACATAAAGATAATGTGTACAGATGCCAGGCACACAAGAAACAAAGAGATTCGCCGTTTTTTTTTTTCTGGCTGAAAAAAGGAAAATACTCCGTCTTTATCTAATTTTATTTCCTCGTGGATTTTTGGCTTTGCTCCAAATTATGCATGTTTAGAAGAAAAAAAAAGAGTTTAATCTTTAATTTTGGTTTAACCTTTACTTTTTCCCCCGTAAAAGAATGCATTTTTACAACTGCTTTGCCATAACATTACACATTAAATATATTTGGCATAGAACTTCTTTTCGGGATATGATATTAAATGTATAATCATAGAACTTCTTTTCGGGATATGGTATTAAATTTATAATCCTTTAACAAAAGGACGTGAGAGTTCCAAGAATAATGACGGACAGTTCACCCGATCCTTTTCAGTTTCTTTTTCAAAGGAGTCAATTAATTTTTATATATAAAACAACAAAAAGGAAGATTGCAAAAACGAGCAATGAAGTCAATCGGCGCTTATAAGATTAACTGATTAGTGGATTAATTCGCCAGATACTAATTTTGTTACAATTTGACTATGGAAAATGGAAAACAGTGGCTAATTCTTTGGTAGATAACTCAAATTTGTTTTTTTATTTTATCTATCATAATTAATTTAAGTCATTCAGCTATTTAACTAACAGAAATATTTTGCACCAAAACGAACCTGGATTTTGTATTATAATTGCATTGTCATCGTCATCATTGTAATTTTGAATGCATCGTCATCTGTTGATCGACGCTCAACTAAGGCTTATGTACATGAAGGTAAACCTGCGTTTCTGATCGAGGACCATTGTTCCTGCGTCTATCCGCACTGACGAGTGCACTGTTTACTAACAAACCGCACCTAAACTACCACGTCGACATTGCATCATCATGTAAAACCGCAAAGAATGACAAGGCGTTTTTATTACAGTTCCCACCTTTCACTGGTACCCATTTTTTCTTTCAAGTGTTTGAAAGTCGTCAGTAAGTGGCGTGAAAAGGAAATATTAAGATTTCGTGATCTCTTAGATTTAGATGTGTTATCCTGCCCGGATGGTTGGACAGAGATTTTACTTTTTGGCGGGAAATTGTAATTAAAATCGTCTGCATGAAACAAAAAATTGCCGTAGGCGGTCGTCTGGGAAATAGGGTGTTCCCACCATAAATCCTAAAAGACTGCACCTGTTGAACTTTGTATGTGAAAGGATTTTGCTATTTATTTAATTACATATCTGGATGAAAAAACATTGCATCAGCTTCTGATTCTTTCAAAGATCGTGTCTGCCTTCCGAGATGGTTACACGTTTTAACATTATAATATTACTAAAAATGTTAATGTTCACCACTTTTAAGTTAAGCACTCTGAAATTTTAAAAATCTCCAAAATTGCTCATAAATGGTTCCAATTTATCTTTTTTTTTTGTGATGCATTTTATGTATATCATGAACCATTCCATATTATATACTCTGCTTCCAAATCTCATTTAAACGAAAATGATTGTTGGAAACGGAACCGAACAGAAATTAAAAAATAATAATCATACTGGAAATAGACCGTCCAGCTATAAGATAAAATAGAAAATAAGTATGATCGATTTTTGTCTCCTTTGCTATCTGTTACGCAATCCATGGCTTCGCCAAGTCATGGGGGCAAGTCATGGGGGCAAGTAAAAAGTTTTTGCCACGGTCATTCAAACGTTAAACGTGATTCCAAGGATATTTTTCGAAAAACTGTTTACTGACATCGCCAACGCCAGGCATCAAATTTAAGGGTCATGCCAGGACCAAGAAAGTATTGTGTAAACTTTTTGACATCATTGTATTGATATCTGTGAACGTTTGTGATTTAGTATATTTGATTTTCATGTGTGTAGATCGAATATTCAGCTTTAAGAAAATGATTGTGTTGGTTTATGGTTTTCAGGGACTGGCTTATTGAAGGAATAATAGTAAACTCAGATCTGCCTATACATTGCATGATTATGAATAACGGATTGGAAGAATGTCATTGACACCATAAAAAAAAGGTATTGCATTATTTCTCGCTTAAGACTGAAGAACGGTCATTTTCACTGTCATTTAAATACCCACAAGACGCACTTAAATTGTTTGATTCCTTTAAAATGTATTGATATCATAGTTGCGACAAAATACATTTCTAAAAACCTTAAACAAGGGTCCTGGGCCAATGGTCCTACATTGATGACTTCAGTACATCCACACGAGCCTGATTTTGCTGCAGTAGCGCCACAATGGAATTTACCCAAATTACAGCCACCAGGCTTCTGAACAACGCTGGATGATTTTTTCTCATTCTGACGCCTCCTAATTTACCCAAGAAATCACAGTGGTTTTTCGTTGTTTCTCTTGGGCAGCTTGGGTAAAAAAGAACGACAACAGGGAAACTTAATTTTCAGACCAGATAATCTCCAAATGAATCGAATGACACGCCGGGTTTCAAGCGCATCCGTGTTCCTCTTCTTCCAAAGTCAACGCGAGATATCGTTTACTGGGTGGGTGGGTGGTGTTTGGGGGGACTTGACGACAGCAACTGGTAGACGTCAGAAAATGGCGGTTTCGTGTGGCCAACAGACGTTAGACAGATACATGATGCAATGGACTTCCAATTATTTTGTTCATAACATAGTATTGGCTGGCGTGGATTTGATATACGGGCAAAGGATGGTGAGGAACGCACGCAAATATGAATATCGATCGATTCATTCATGGAATGATGATGTTGAGCGATTTAAACGAGAGTGATTTCTATACTATATAAAAGAGGAGTATCGGTGTAAATGAAGGAATATGGTAGCGACATTACGTGAAACATAAATTTTAATAGTATTGGCTTCAGTAGGTTTAAAGAGCTTATTCAAACATACATTTACATGTGAGTGTTTTGTATATGAATTATCGTTATTAGACGTTCCAGTTTAATATTGAATGATATGCTGCTAGAATTTTAATACACTTTGCCCGCATATTCATTTCTACGTCACTCTGGGTATGCTACGTTGAATGCAACAGTAGCATCACGCCAGGCAGGTTGTTTATGAATGAATGCATGAAAATGTCCTATAACGGCATTTTCGACGCCTACGGTAATGTGTGATTCAAATAACGTCACAAATTGATTATTTGCTAAAAAAAATTTGGATGAAAAAAGGCTGGTCCAAACGCGAAATTAACAAGGGAAACTATTCAATAAAGCCTACTCAATGTGATAACCAGTGTAAAAGTACATTGTACGTTACTGTGAACTCTCTGTTAATTAAGTCCATATTAAATTCTTTTCATATAATACAGCTTTGTGCTTGCCTCCTATGCGCATTTTCGTTCTACGCTCTTTTCCGATAACAAAATTCCGAAGCCTTACATCGTCCCTTCCCATAATTACATGCACAAAGCTGTGTCCTTCTTTCTGTTCGTTAAATGGGCTCTTGTGACATAACATAATAATATAATCTAAGTTCTGTGAAAGCTCGTATAACTTTGCGGAGAAATATTCAGTCAGAACATTTATCAGATCGGGCTAAATATACTCGAATCTATGTACACATATTTGATTTACTGGTTTTAGTCAAATATTATAAACATTTGTTTTATAAATGTCAACGATTTTTAAAGATATCTTCCCTAAAAACCGTCTGTCCTACTTAGCGACAAAAGAACCGAGAAAACGTGACGCATCACTCCTTCTGGTGTGCTTCTTTATGGTGATATTGAATTTGCGACGCTATATGATGATATCCCACATAAGGATTCAAGAAAATGTCATCCTAAAAGTATGTACATTAATGTAGCCCGCAATTTTAAAGGGGGATATGCTTTTTTTCTGAAAAAAAAAATGGATTAAAATTACTTTGGGAAAAAATATCATTCCGCCGATAGATACCAAAGAGTTCAGTTATGTTCCCAAACCGGAAAAAACTGCAAAAACCAACCAAATGGGCAACCGATTTACAATTATTAAGCGTTACAGCTTTTTCTCATTTTCTGTCACTTTTATTTATAAATCCTACGTAACATCGCAATAACACTAAATGCTCACAGCTTTTTGATGTTTATAAAATTTAGTTTATAAACAATTTATAAACAAGATCTGC